ATCTAGGAGGCACAGAGAGCTCTCATAAAAATCAACAAAGGCAGGCCAACACTAAGACATATGGCAGTAAAATTTGCAAAATACAGAGATAAGGAAAGAATCCTGAAAGGAATCCCTCAATTAAAGGGAAGACAAATATGGTTAGCAGCAGACCTCTCCACAGAAACTTGGCAGGCCAGAAGAGATTGGCATGATATATTTAATGTGCTGAATGGTAAAAATTATGCAGCCAAGATTACTTTATCCAGCAAGGCTGTCATTCAGAATAGAAGGAGAGATAAAGAGTTTTCCAGACAAACAAAAACTAAAGGGCTTCGTAATCACTAAAACAGCCCTGCAAGGAATATTAAAGGGGACTCTTTGAGTGGAAAGGAAAGACCAAAAGTGACCAAGACTATAAAGGAACAGAAAACATCACCAGAAACACCAACTTTCCAGAAACACAATAGCACTAAATTCATATCTCTCATTAATCACTCTGAATGTAAATGGACTAAATGCTCCAATCTAAAAGACATAGGGTATCAGAATGGATTTAAAAAAAAACAAGACCCATCTACATGCTGCCTACAAGAGACTCATTTTAGAACTAAAGACACCTGCAGATTGAAAATGAGGGGATGAAGAACCATCTATCATGCTAATGGACATAAAAAGAAAGCCAGAGTAGCCACACTTATATCAAACAAAATAGAGTTTAAACCAAAGACTGTAACAAGAGATGAAGAAGGGCACTATATCATAAAAAGGGGCCTATCAAACAAGAAGATATAACAATTGTAAATATTTATGCCCTTAACTAGGGAGCACCCAAAAATATAAAACAATTAATAAACATAAAGAAACTCACTAATACTACAATAATAGTAGGGGACCTTAATACCCCACTTACAGCAATGGACAGATCATCTAAGTAGAAAATCAACAATGAGACAATGGCTTTGAATAATACACGGGACCAGATGGACTTAACAGATATATTCAGGACATTTCATCTTAAGCAAGAGAATACACATTCTTTTCAAGTGCACATGGGACATTCTTCAGAATAGATCACATATTGGGTCACAAATCAGGCCTCAACAAGTACAAAAAGATTGAGATCATACCATGCATATTTTCCAATCACAACGCTATGAAACCTGAAGTCAACCATAAGAAAAAAATTGGAAAAACCACAAATACATTGAGGTTTAAGAACATCCTACCAAAGAATCAATAGGTTAACCAGTAAATTAAGGGAGAAATAAAAAAATACATGGAAGCAAATGAAAATGAAAATACAATGATCCAAAACCTTTGGCATGCAGCAAAAACAAGTCCTAAGAGGGAAGTAAACAGGCCTACCTCAAGAAGCAAGAAAAGGACCTAAACAAGGAACAGCAAATGAACCTAAAGCCAGCAGAAAGAAGGGAAATAACAGAGATAAGAGCAGAAATAAATTACATAGAAACAACAACAAAGGGGCACCTGGGTGGCTTAGTCGTGAAGCGTCTGCCTT